ATATTGTAAGTTATAATAGTAGTGATATGTGAAGTTATGGTAATTAAAAAGTCATTTCTCGTACAGTATTGAAATCCAATTAGTTTTCCAATAGGATATTGAATGAAAGGTTAGTCATCTTTTGAATTTAATTTCAAATTTAAGTTTGTTAAAATGTTGAATTCAAGTCTTATAAAATTCATTAAATCTATAACTAATGATAGAAATTAATTTTACTTTATGATCACTTTTACATTTATGTTGATATATGTTTGTTTCATCATTCTAATAGAAATCAATTAAAAAAAGCAACTTGTTTGTATTATTCTGGTATTTTGACTATTTATTATAGGATTGATGGAATAAGATAATGCAACACTTGAGCAATCTGCCAAGAGGAGTCTCTTGGGAAGACTTCCAAATATGTAACACCTAAATAGGAGGCTGTAGAAAAACTCCACATGTCTAGTTTGTTCAAATTCATGACAAATTACCAATATTCAATGATTTTATCCAATCTGTTATTGTGGGCTCTTAACCATTTTAAAATTACTTTTAATTAATGTTAAAATGTATAAAATGTTAAAAATGTTAGATTTTCAGTTGTTAAAAATTTTTCAAATTACTACATATATCTATTTATCTCTCATTTTTTAAAATTATTCTGGAATCTATATATTGATTGAAAGAGTTTGACTTAGTTTGAATAAATAGCTGGAGATGATGCAGCTGAAGTGAGATTTGAGAAAGGTGCAATGGTTCAGGCATGGTGAAATGGCAAAGTATTGTACAATGTTAAGTCTATGGGGCAAATGTGTTGAGGTCCTATCCCATTAACTTTAGCTTGAGCAATTTTTTGTGTTTTTTCAGTTTCATTACCGGAGCTGGTTTTGGACTGTTAGCCACCAATCTTAACTAAATTAGTATAATATAATGCTTGCTATAGATATTTGGCCGCCCTTATCAATACTGATTGCCAGTAATTTTGTAATCTACCCCAACCCACGAGAGTCTACTGGTATGTTTTATGACAGCTTCACATAGTTGACAGGTGTTTTGAAAAAGCTATAAAAATATTTGATATATATTTAGTTTAATTTTATTCAAATCAATTGATAGTAAGCACCTTTGTTTAAAGTTATGTGTTAGCACTGATATAAAATAGAATTTCTAAATTAAAATGAAATTAATTTAAAGAAATTTTTCTTATTTAGTATATAAATACAATATATACATGTCTGTGTATAAAAATAAATTTAAATTTGAATATTTAAATTAATAATGTTTATTGCATCTCTTTTTTATTTAAATTTTTCCTTTTAGTTTCGTCAACAATTAAAACAATTGTGTAAGTATCACTTTAAGATAAATGCCCATTCACAATGAAAATTAAGCATTATTTAATGCAACCATTCACAATGAGTTATGTAAGCATAACTTTAAACTTAATCATAAGAAGTTAACATAAATAAAGCTTGGAGTTTGCAATCTTTAAAAGTTTACAAACTCCAAGATTTTATGCTTTTTACATGATTTAAAACAAGAAACAATCTTAGTGGTTATGGAATTCCCACTGATGAATTTTTCTCTGGTTCAAGGGATGAAACTCCCATCACCTGTTGCTTACACTTAAGTTTTCTAATGCATAACACCTAACACGTATGCTTTGGCATTATTTATATCCATAAACTGCATGGCTATATTGTCAGTCATCATGCAAACATCAATCTATTTCATCACTGACCACTATTAATAATATAAAAGCTGTTGTCTTTGTGTGTGTGAATTCCTTATAACTCCTGCAATTTTTGTCTAATTCAGATGAAATTTTTATTATTTGTTTTATGTTCTGATGGAAAGGATAAAGAAGATCACTGAGGAAACCTCAGAAACATTACCATGGAATTTACCCAAAATATCATTGGAAGAAGTTGAGGAAGACGAAAGGATCAGTGGATCCAAGATCACTCATGGAAACTAATTGATAAGAGGAAAGCTGCAAAACTTAAAAGCCCAAGCAATGCTGGGTACAATACATGCAGCTAGTTTTAAATTGAATTTGCAAACAGTGTGGTTAACTTTCATTCTGCAAACTTATTTTTTATATTTCTATCTGAAAGGAGCCAGGCTTTCTAAGTCTGTTATAAAATAAACTTTTTTCAAATAAAGGAAGCCCAAATTCAATTTTTTGATTTGATATCATGGATCATTAATCTTAACTAAATTAGTATAATATAATGCAAACAACACTGTATGTATTATGATCAACACCAATTTTATATATACAGTTGACCCCCATAACACTGTTGATAATTCTGTTTTATATGAATTCAAGTTGTACCATGTTGTACAAGTCACTTAGATTTTACAAATACGTGTGCCAGGCTGTGAACAGCTCACGTATTTGTAAAATCTAAGTGACTCGTACTACATGGAATTCATATAAAACAAAGTTATCAACAGTGTTATAGGGGGTCGACTGTACACAGATATTAACTATCATTTTATATATAGACATAATATATGTAATATTGGTAAGATGTAAAACTTGATTTTTATTGATATTATTATCAACAATGAATGACTTACAATTAAAAAAAGAATAAAAATAACAAGTTATCAAATTTATTGTTTTCTAGCCTTGGCATTAAAAGGAATCGATTATGAATATAAAGCTGTGAATCTCATCAAAGATGGTGGTGAACAGGTATGTTTATAATTCAATTTTCAGAAAGATATTGCGGCAGTTGGCAATGTGGCACTTGACCACTATTTCCAATCTATGTGACATCAGACCGAGGCTAACCTGTCTTCTAGTCAACGTACTTTTGCTTGGTCATGTTTTCACCTTGCACCTCAAACATTGTCTCAAGGTTGACATATAGTTGTAAATTTGACGGAATATAGACATGGAAATAAATACTTGGCAACTGCCCAGGAAACATATCATCCTATCTGAATTGTTTATCCAGCATGACAACAACACTATGTGTGGATGCAATCAGATTGATCAGCATACTAGATCAATCCGAAAAAGAGGCACATAGTAGGTGCCTAAATATTAAAAATCAAAATTTTATAAAAACTAACAAATCTATAATAAAATAAATAAAAAAAAGGAAACAAAAATTCCAGTGTCTTTCTATAAAAAACAGTGTTTAATAAAAATCTTTGTCTCATTATCAATAAACTTTTTATTTTATATATATTAAAATTTATTAAATTTTTACATTGAATGCGTATTGTAAACAAAGTTTTCTGACAATGGACAACATATATACTGAAATGTTTCAAAAATTTATTAAGATGACAGAATTTTTAAAATAAAATAACTGTTATAATAAAAACGATAATTATTTTAAGAAATGGATGCAACTACAGAAACAATATTAAAGATTTTAAATTATGCAGTAAAATCCAACAATGAACACAGTTTATCATTTCAGTTTTCTTCAGCTGATGGCAGATGTTTGCTGCATATTTCTAATCTTATAATTTGCTATCATTGTTAATTTTGATTCCAAATAGTTTTGAATAGTCCATCAGAAAATAGCATCATCTAAGATAGATTTAATATGTGACAATTAAAAACTCTTTTATGAAAAAATTTCTTATTTTTTGTTGTTGTTGTTATATGTTCATATTAATAAGCAGTCTTCTAAACTAGGGTTGATCCACTTTAAGGATTTTATAATTAATTTTTGAAAATTTGATTTATAGTTTCTTAATGCAGTATTTCAGAATGGGTGAACCATTCTGAGCATAAGAATAGATGGTATTTATTAAGATTATCAGACTGCTTCCCATCATATAATCTCAAGATGAATTATAATCTATATCTGTATTCTGTTCTGAAAGTATTTCCTCCTTTATTTTTATTTTCTTAGCTGTTTTATATTACAGAGGGAAAGTGTGGTGATTGGTCAAAAGCACAACCTCCAATATTTTTTAATTTTTTGGACTCTGGACCATAAAACATCGAAAAATGAAAAAAAATTGGGAGTTTTTTCCTGTATGTATAGATGTTATAGTGTGTGGGAGGGCACAATTTTGTTCACCCTTTTTCAAGCTTAATAACTCCTGTACTTTTTGTGAAAAATTTCTGAAATTTTGCAGGGAGTTTTGTGTATTAGGGGATTGATACTATTAAATTTGGGTGATAAAAGGTTGAGGAGTGGGGAGATAAAGCAGGTTGTGTGTATCTCGAGTAGGGTCGGACTTAATGACAATTTTACTTGTTATTAGCATTTACAATTTTTTATGAAAACTAATTCCTACCCTTAAAATTAAGATGTTTGCCATTTTATAATAGTTAAAATATAAAAAGCTTTTTAATAAAATATGATAACAGATGGCACAACTAAATGTTGATGGGAAAGTTAAGCAGCTTGTTGCTGCATTTTTAAACTGTGTGTTTTATTTTTTGTTAAATAATGATTTATAATTACATTCTGTTACAGTAAGCTTAATTTGAAAATTTTCAAACATCTGAAATAAAACTATTATTATTTTTTAATTGCTTTATTTTATTTTTCAGCATTCTGATGAATATAAGAAATTAAATCCTCAGCAGAAAGTTCCTACATTAGTTATTGATGGAAATGTCTTAACAGATTCTGTAAGTTATTTTATAAAAATTTAATACTATTGTCAAAAACTTTACTTATATTAAATTGCTATTTTTAGACATTTTATAATTGATAAGCATTGGATTCATGTTCAGTTGGGCTGTATAGAGGGTATATAATGTCTGTAAATTGATTAGCAAAACTGTCAATAACTTTCATTAGTTTGTTTTAAAATCAATAAGAATATCTTGTGGAAATAATGAAGTTTTTATATTAAAAAAGTATGATTTACAAGAAAATTAGGTTGCAATTTTTTAACAAAAATATCTAATTTATTACTAAAGTTGATAAAAATTTTTATTTAAATTATTTATTTCAACAGAAATAAATATAATAACATAAACTACTTTTATATAATTTAAATTAAATTTTTCATTAATAAAAATTTTATAGATCTCAATTTTAGAATATCTTGAAGAAAAAAGACCATTACCACCACCATTACTACCAACAGATGCTGCAGCAAGGTCAAAAGTTAGAACAATCGTAAATTGCATTGCCTCAGGAATTCAACCAATACAAAATTTAGCAGTATTACAACATTTAGATGAAGATAAGAAATCATCTTGGCCCAAATATTGGATAACTGAAGGTTTCAAAGGTAAATTACTGGAAACATATGATTGTATACTATAAATGCTGAACTTTTAATTGTGATTAGTTAAATGGTGATTTCCCCTCTGTAATCTTTAAATTGTCTTTAAATTTACAGTAAATATAATTAATTTTAATTTATAAATTTAATGATTGTTTGTTACTTTATTTTTTGTGCACACTATGAAAATTATAAATACTCAATATTCAATACTGCTATATTTATTAGCTAAAGCTAATAAATATAGAAGTATTGAATGTAATCTTTCAATGAAAAAATTGTCAACCTTAGCTTCTGTTTATTGATCAAATTTTTATAGTCTAAGTAACAAAACTATAGTATTAATAATCTGTGTAAAGCTCAGAATATCCATTTTTGACAAACAACAAATATCTCATTTGTATATTTTTTTGTATGCTTTTTTATTATTATTACAGTTAATAAATTACTATAATTTCTGCAGCCTGCAAGTACAGACAATCCCCAAGTTTAGTTCTGGGACCACTGTTGTAAGTCAAACATAAAAAAGATAACAATGGTTGGACTTCCCCAAACTGTAAATAAATCTCATTTTTACACTTACTAGCCATATTGAGTTATTAACACTAAGACACCCAGAACACGCAGGAAGACACATGCAAAGGCTCCAAAAATCATAATGAAATACTGGGATATAATCAACTCCACATGAAGATTACAATATTTTTACTTATTTAATTTGTAATAAGGTTAAAGTGAATTAGTAATAAAATTGAAATTAGAATAATAATCTTAGACTGAGCAACTTCTGAAGAAGTTAGTTTCGCTTTTGACCATTAATGGTGTAAACTTGAGTTGAATAAACATAAGTGTAACACTGTAATGGACAATAACTCTTATCATTTAATTGTAGTATTGTACTGTACCATTAGTATAGTTAGGACTCAAATATATTTTTAATATACAGGTATCTCTTATATAATATGGTAGTTCCGTTCTGAAAAAGTGCCATGTTATGCAAATCCAAAGGAATAATGCAAAATATGGGGTTATGTTCTAGAAGTTAGCAAAAGTATACTATTCTTTTTCATTACTAAGAGAAATATATTTATTAAAACAATTAATACTTTATTTCCAATCAATAATTAACTGACAAGCACAATTAAAAGTACTGTGTTACATGTTAATTAATTAATTAATATTAATTTTAGTTAAATGAGGGCATTTTCTTTTTACAAAGATTTTACAATTACAGTTGTCCCTCTATAGTCCGACATTTTTTAATCTGACATGCTGAGTAGTCCGACGCACCTCCTGTCAAGGTACCCGTCCCCGTTACGTGTCTGCTTGCACAGAAGCATGTCACGATGTGAATCTCCCCATCCAATTCTTACTCGATGACACACATTTCGTGTGTTTTATGTGAGCAGTTCTGTTCGAACAGTTGGAGTAGAGAATATTGTAAGTTACTGCTAGCAAAACAATGCGAAATATGTAATTATTTTCGGTAATCCGGACACTTTTGGTAATCTGACACACCTTTGGTCCC